GGATTTTGATGGTTTTTGATGGATTTCGTGATCAACTTTCAGACAGATCTAAATGTTGGTTTTCAAAATCTGACAGAGTGTTGATGCTGAATGGCAATAGTTCTTATTTCCCACCACATGTTTGATGGTTGAAATCCCCCATATCAGTTTCTAGCACATCTTTTTGCGTGGAAAAGAGATCGTTTTCCGTCGCTTTGGAATGGTTGGAATCGGACAATGAACCTGGCGTTGTGAGGTTTACCATCAAGGAAGCTGTTCCGATCTCCCACATTGCCGCCTCTTGGCCTGACATCCTTCATGGATTTCATGGGAATGATGAGCTGTGAAGAACACAACAGGCCAATATGTCCTACGTCACTAGGCCTGGAAAATGCTAAGGAACAACACAACTGACACGAATATGTGACATATATATATAATTATGTATACCCGCACACACCTCTCTTTCTTTTAATCTGTTTTTTTAAATCAATTTCCAGACGAAGTGAGATATCCTGACAGCTGGACCTGTAATTTTCTGGCCACTGAGGTGATGGGTCTGGCCCTCAGTTTTTCCAGGGGAGGTTTGATGCCTTGAACTTGGCTGTGAACAGTGGAAGACCATGTTTCTTTGGAAAGGTCTGTGGATTTTTTCCACATTTTTGCGGAAAATAAATCTTGATGTTCAAGTTGTTCAAGTATGTTTTTTCCGGGACTTCCTGGATTGCACCCTGTGTTCTAATGAAATTACTCTTGAAAGAAGGGTCCTGATTTTGAGTTGGGATAGCAACTTGGTAACCAGGCGACATTGGGATATTTACTCACAAAAATGGAATACACTGGGCATATCGGTATATCAATGTATACCATACATCATGATAAATCCAAGTTGGATACTGGTTGGTGGTTTGGTCCATTTTTCATTTTTCCATATCTTGGGAATAATCATCCCAACTGACGAACTCATATTTTTTCAGAGGGGTAGGTCAACCACCAACCAGGATGTTTGTTGGTTGGTGTTTTTCAAGTCCTTCAATTTTCAGAGATGATGGTCCCAACCGGGATGGTTTGGGGACATCCCGACCTGTGATGACTTGGTAGCAACAATTCCGAGATAGGATCCATATCATCGAATCCATTTAAACCCCCTTGGGGTTTGAAAATCATCCGATGGTTTAGCAAGGTTTAACACATTGTTTGTGAATGTTTGTTATTTTCATAGGTAGGGATAATTGATGATCTTTGTATCTCAGTAAAGCCAGTTGCTCGAGGCAATGCCTTGTCCCAGCTGCTGTTCAACACCCGCCTGCGACATCCTTCGATGTCCTTACGGCCATTGATACACTATGAGCCTTGAGAGATATGCCCACCATAAGTGGGAAGATCATCGGATATAATGGGGATATCATGTGATATATATATACACTGTATATATATATATACATACAAATTTGGGTGTGTCCAAAAAGAGGAGATACACCAAACATTCAACTTTGATTGGGAAACTGATGATACAACATCAAACATTCAGGGGTGCTCCATTTTCAGACGAAGCCACTTGGAATAGGCAAAACATTTTCGTCAAGCTGCTGGTTGAGGGACGTTGGTTGGGGACCAAAATATCTGGCCAAAGGATTTCCAGAATGTGGATGTAATGTGGTAAACTTGGGTAAAGGGGGCGCGAACTGAACAGATCCAATATCCAACACCAAGCAGGTTTTGGGACGAATGCCTCAGCCCCCTATGGCCCCCTATGATTTAAGTGGTGGCCCAGGAGATTGCGGCTGTCCTGCTACCTGCAATGTCGGGATGCCTAGCAAAGGAATCTGGAGGTCGCTTCAGGTCCGCTTCAATGTGCCAGCTCCGGGATTAGTAAACCCTGGTTGATCAAATAGATAGCAATCATAGTGGTATCCTCCCAATTAATATAGCCGGGGTTAATCAATGTGGGGTTGACATTCATGATTTTGTGACATTCTCTCAGGAGTTTCACCTGTCAATTTTGCTGGTTGGATTCTTTGTGGCTAGTGAACTTGCCATTTGTTGGTTGATGGCCCCAGCCCCATTTTGGTCGCCTCAAAGGTTGGGAGGCAACTCTCTTGGTATCGTGGTGTCCAAGGCCGGGTTCAAGCCAGGGCCTCTGCTTAGGATGGAGGTAAACCCCAGAAAACTGGTGGAATCAGCAAAAAAAAGGTAACAGTGATGTGGGTTTGTCTGAAAATGGTGGTTTATGGCAAGTTATTGCCATTTTAATGGGAACAACAACTTTTAAACCGTGGATTGGGGGGTACCCTATTCTCAGCCCCATGGAGTATTCCTTGCAACGACGCCAGGTCTTTCCGCCCACAGCGCTGGTGCTGCTGTCGCTCATCCTCTTGCTCTTTGCAGCTGCTAAGACCATGCACAAAGGACAAAACAAGTCCAGATGGGTCCAGTGGGTTTGATGGCCAAGTTCCGGAAGAAATGACATGTGCCGATTTGCTCCGCATTTTCTATGTCACTCTTTCTTATTTACCTTTCCATTCTTACTTGGAGATTGAGTTGTTTTCAACTATTTCTGGGATGGGTTGAAATGTTGTCATGTTATTTGACTTATCCTCTCAAAGCGGTGGCGTAAGTTTCAAAGATAGGAAACCTATAGAAGCGGTGGTTTGTTGTGACGCATGGATGGCAGAACGAAGGCTGATGGACCGAAAGGTGGTTGAGGCTCCGGCTCTCTCTCTCTCTCTCTACCTATTTATCTATTTATCTATCCATCTATCCACCTATCCACCTGTCTACCTGTCTACCTATATACCTATCTACCAAATCAATCTAATCAATCTAATCAATCCAATCAATCTACAAGTCTACCAATCTATCAATCTATCAATCTATCAACCTATCGTAACCTATCAACCTATCCATCAATCAATCTATCCATCCATCTATCTATCCATCTATCTCTCCATCTGTCTATCTACCTACCTACCTACCTATCTATCTACCTATCTATCTATCTATCTATCTATCTATCTCTCTCCCCAGGACTGGTTGCCTTTCGGAACTCTGGACCTGCCAAAGGTGGACTGGTGGAGCGGGGTTCTATTCCCGTGTGCCGAACATGTCAGGTTGGTGACATATGAGAATTGATCCATATATTTTTGCAATATGTATATATATATATATATCTAAATATGTGTGTATGTATATATATATATATTTATGTATATGTATTAGTATTATACTATATATATATACATAATACATATGTATATTTCTCATCCGGATCGTTGTTGAATTTCAAGTGTTTGTTGCAAGTTTATATGAGAAAGCAAAACAGGATTACTTTTTCCTTTGTTGTCAATTTTATGCTTCATGATTTTGCCATTGGTTTTGGCTCACCATTTTGAATTCCATTTGATGCCGGTGGCAAATCACCATGATTTGACGAGGTTGAAATGGTGCTTAAGGCAGAAATTAGAGCTGAATATGGGGGTTCAATTGGGTGCCCCAAAATCTCATGCTTGAAGAAAAATATAAGTTTCCCTAATTTTCCAATGGCCATACATCTTTAACATCTTTTTGTCACTCAGAGTTCGTGGTGGATCCCACGATCTCAGGTTCGGCCATCAGCATGAACAACCTGCAGCGACCGGTTCTGGATGTTAGGCAGCCCACAACGGGAGTTTCATTGAGAATTGGGGAATTCACCCACCCAAATATGGGCATGTATATGGGGGTTTCCTAATATGGGGATCACACATATTCTTGTAAGATTTTGAAATGTAAACTACAGGGTGCATAGGTACCAGTGTGAAATGGTTCATTCCCATATCTGGATGTATATCAAGTTCAATGTTTCGGAAAGTCTCGCATCTTTGGTTTACACCTGAACAGAAACTATATAAAAACATCAATGTTTGTTTTTTTGAATATCATTATCATACTTAATTTTTCAGAGAAGCTCTTCAAAATCCCAGGGAATTAACAATGGATCCATGCAATTTTCATCAGCTCCACTTGCGTGTTGAGGGATAACCTCTCGATCGCTTCGGATTCCGTGCTCCATGGAGCGGGTCCGCGGCGTCACCAGAATTCATCGTCCACCGGGCAGCTGTCCATGCAGTGCCTCGCCGGTGATGGGAGGGTAAAAATGGAGCCATGGACAGCCCTGGACAGCAGAAATGGCTATTCCTTGAGGGGAAAATGGTGAGCAATCATAGTAAACAACCAAGATTTTGTGGGTACCCTTTCAAGCCCAACATGGGGGAGTTAGGCATCGTTTGGGGATTTGTTTTCAAGGGATTAGTTGGTGGTTTCGATTTGATTTGCCGAAAGAGGACGTGATTCCCTGATTGAATAACATGGCGTTTGGGGTGGGTTGACACCACCATCATAGAACACAGCATGGGGACTAGTTGGGAGCCTCTCGAACCCACAGATGGGCGGGTCTGGTGTGTGAAGCATCGAGCTCTTGGGGCAGCTTGAACACACTTAGGCGCAGCCTGTTGGTTATCTCAAGAAGCGGAAATGTCCCTCAGACTTGAGGAATTGATGATAGCCTGATGGTTCAAAAGTACATAGCCCCTAAGTTGGATGATCCCCAAACGGTGCATTTGGGGCCCGGCAATGCTGCCGGGCTGCCAGGTCCAGGTCCTTTGAAGATCAGTTGCCGGTCCGAATCCCGTGGAAGACCATTTGGTTCATGTACCTTGCAATGAAGTGATCCAAGTGGGAATGGTTGGGGACCCGAAAATGGAGGCACTCGAGGTGCTCTACATGACCAATATTACCATTTTTCAGGCCAGATTTTGTGGAGATATTCCCTGAAATCTAGGCCTTACATGGGCCTTGTATATGGGAGGTACCTCCAATTTAGCTACCTGAAATGGCTATTCGGCTTCTCCGATTTCTTTTGCTTGAACCCCAAAATGGGTGGAGAAAATCACTATCTCCATTCAATTTTGAACCCAAGTCTGAAGCCAATCCCAGCCCAGTATCTCTACCATGGCCATTCAGTGGGTTGCCAACTCGCCAGAGCGTGCGCGCCAAGGGTGGCCTTCAATGTGATCTTTTGCCTGGACTATTTGGCCATGTCTCAAGACGTTGATGGCGTGGAGAAGTGCCTGGACAACCACCAGAAAAATGAGGATTCAACCAATAAAAATTGGGATTTACTGCAAGACCTTTAAAACGATTCAAAACAATTGGATTGAGCCTGCAAAAGAGGGAATTAACCGTAACCATCAAAAGATTCGATTGTAAAAACACATTAAACTTGGGATTTGAAGAATAAGAACTCTGAATCAATCAATGAAGATTGGGATTTTACTGGTTATAAGTTATACAAGTTATACCATATACCTTCTGGCAATCCAACCTGGCTGTTGGAAAGTCTTTGATGTACAGTTTCTGTAAAACAGGGGTACTTGGCATCGCCTTTTTGAAACGGGGTGGTTACCAAATTGTCCATGCAGCTCGCCCAGTTGGTTCCCATCACATCACAGGTGAGAAATGCCATCCCAGCCCCTGGTTTTTTCTAACACCCCCCTGGTATGGTCCCTCTCCTTTCGCGAAAATCAGGTGCTCGGTACTTTACTGGATTGCGCTGCTGGGCCTGTATCCAGTGGTTGCCCTCTCCCTCCTGCTGGCCATCAGGCAGGATCCAAGTTTTCTGCAACTGCATACCGTAGACCTACTATGTGGGGATGGTTTATACATGTTTATACCTCCCATAAATGGGTCGAGATAGATTACTTATTGGGTTTACCTCATCACTCAACGACGTATCCCATATGGGTTTGACTAAAAAAATCGTGGTTGATCATCATTTTTCCTATAAACACTGCCATTTTGAACAGGCAGACTCTGGCAGACCGCTATTTTCGGACGCACCAACATCTTGCCTGTCATATCCCATGGTTCTTGGCATTTCTGTGCTAAACTTCAGTCATTTATGACGATGCCATCGCTTTTCCAGGGGGCGCTGCTCATTTTTTTCACCTTGTTCATGGATTATACATATATATACACAATATGTATTATATATATATATGGATTTTGTTTTGTCCACCTCGCATTTCCCCATATTTGGAATGGTTTTTTCATTTTTTTCTGACCCTCACAGAGACCATCTGACTGTGATCATGGCTCCACGCTTGGAGCATCCCAGTAGGGCATATTTTTCTGATATCTCCCAGTTGTACATGGATATTCTTCGCCACTTAAATTCGCGCTTTGATCTTCGGAGATCATGAACACTATTTGTAGATGATTTTCGCATTCAACCATTAATTTGTAGATGATTTCCAATATTTTCCCATGATTTTCCCATTAAAACCTCCATTTGGTGCCGGAAAATCTCCGTTGCGTGTTGCAGGTTTATGCGTGAGCTGGCAGAGTGGCATGCCTCCCGCCACGACCCACCGGTACAAGGGGACCCTGTCCTTGGAAGGTCAGGGGAAATCATCACTGTTCCACTGGTGTTTAGGACAATGGCTGGGTGTAGGTTGATGCTCCAATCTACTTTTTGAGAAACTACTACATTGCTACTCACCGGTAGAAAGTTTACGAAGAGCTTGGTCTGTGCACATGGGCATTTCCCGCGCGCACGCTTTTGTCTTTGTGTGTATAAGTAGTGGATTTGCTGTAGACAAGACCTTGTTGAATCTTCAGCATGACAGTACACTACAACTTACAGGCCTTGGCATTTGATGTCGAACAGCAGGGTCTCAACGATCATTTTGCTACGTGGCAAATTTGAGACGTGTAGTGGTGAAGTCTTTAGTTTTGAACTGTTGTGTCTTGTGGCATCTTGTGGCATTCAAGATTTTGAACGTTTTAGGCTGCAACCAATGAACAGAAGTCCATATACAGACCTATCCAAAGTGCCTGCGGCCCTTTCTGTGAGTATCCCTAAAATGAAGTGATTAGCTTCAAGTCCTTAAACCCCTACGCCCACAATGAACAGCTTCTCTGAACATGGGAGATTGCCATTTAAACATCGGGAATATGATGATCAACATGATCAACCCCAGGATATTGGGGTTTTCCATGGTTTTCCTTCAAACTTTCAGGTACCAAACCCACATCACTCCCTGGGCTCAGCTGGGAGGATCAGCCCCTGCCCAGGGCTGGATTGGTTGTGGTGCCATTTCTGGCCATGGCCGTTGGATTGCTGGCAGGGCTCCTAGGTCTTGGTGGAGGCGCAGGGTTCCATGGCCCCAGCAGTCGGGCAGGATCCAAAAACCACGACTCTTTTGAGGTGAACAAAAAAAGGGCATGATTCGAATCAGGGGCACAATTTCCAACTCTAAATGATCTATATATATATATATTATAAATGATCTAAATGGAATCACTGGTTTTACCCATGACTATCCATGAACTCTCCATCCTTGCCAGGGGAATTCATGGTGCCTTTGTTGCTTGAGCAGCTTGGCTAAAGGAATGGTCAACATGAGAGTCACATGCACTGCAAAGCCGGACTCTGCAAAGATGGGGACCGCAATCGTGCACCCAGAAACACTTTGGAAATGGCAAAAGCTTGCTGAATCCACCTGGACGTTGCTTGAATTGATTTGACTGAGAAATTTCGGATCATTTTGGCATACGCAAAACTTGCCGGAAGTTGGGTTTGTCCCAAAATGAAGGATGGCCCAATTTTACAGCAATTTTCATGGGGGCCACAGGGTCCCAAAAATGCAACTGATCGAATCCTGAGGCTCGGCGTACAAGCGCGAGTCGCAGCGGCCACCTCTGGTTTTCTGATTTTCTTCAACACCTCTTCCAATGCTGCTCGATTTCTCAGCAGTGCCAAAGGTTCCAAAAAGATCAAACAGGTTTCCAAAAAACTTGTCCGAACAAACAGGTACTATTCGTCACGAACTTGCTTTCTGAACTCTCGACCTTATCTCAACTTATTTTTAGATTGGTTTTGACATGTCAGCAGGGACTCTGAAGGAAGGAAAATACCTTTGGCAATTGGATTGGCTGGGAACTGAGTGTTGGTTTATATAAATCAAAGACTTATCTGCCGAAGGATTTTGTTGACTTTTCCATACTTTTCCCATTTTATTCAGCCATCACGGGCAGCACTATATTACAACTGTTCTTACATGATCGTACACGTGCTTACCCATTGATATCGGATTGATCAATGGTGCTGACATTTGTGAGGTCGCCTGTCCCAGAATTGATACGAGGTTGTTCACTATTTGGTGGCTGGCACGATCGAGCCATTCATGGGCTACGGCATTGCCTGCTTCTTCATGGCGTGTCTGGGCAGGAACTACCTGGTCAAAGGTCAAAAACATGAAACTTAAGAATCTCAAGACCTGTTGCATCCTGTACAAGTACACTGGTGGACCATTACATACAGATGCTTGATTGGTTGAAGCAGTGGTTGCCGAAGGATTATGATTATTGTATGTATTAAATTAATTTAAACTTATTGTTGGTCAATGTAACCCCATCATCAGGGTTGCTCCAACCAATTATAGGTGACCCCCATGGGTCCCTGGTGTTGAGCCAAACTGAGGATGATGGGCTCCTTCTGCGGCCTGCTGGCGGGAAACACGTGAGGGCCTTAGAGCCACCTTGGTTTCTAGTAAATTCAGTCGATCCATGATCTGCGGCTTGGGAGTTTTTTTTCCTCCATCTTTACTTGGGATGACTTCCTTCCAAGTTACTGGTGGTTTTCCACTTTATTTGCAGAATTACAGAGGTGGGATCAACCGGAGGTTACCCCGTCACGCTGAAAGCGGGCCTGATCGCAGCTGAAAGCCAGAAAAAGAATCTCCTTTACTGCATGGCATGGACTACCCGTTCTCTTCACCTTTGCGAATGCTTGTTTTATCTTGGCAACCATGAACCCCAGAACTGCTTGAAGGGAGCATCTCCACCCTCATATTTGGGGAAAACATGGAAAAACAGCAAGTCAATTTTCTCCCCAAACCCAACCATGGAGCGAAATCTGCCACACGCGGAAACGCCGTGCAATCAGGCAGTACGTCCAGAACCACAGCTACATTATCATTTTCTTAGTGGCGTTTGCGCGGCTTGGCGAATGGTAAACAGGGCTGTGAAGCCTTGATGTCAAGCGGCTGGTGCTTGCTAAACCACCAGTGTTTGGGGGTGTAGAATTGATGTCTCAAGAATCCCAAGTTTTCCATCAGAATTCTCCTGAGGCTTCTCTCAAATGGATTCAAATCGGTAAAACCATATATGAAACAACTTGAGTTGGCATGTTTTTTCCCATATTTTCCACCCTTTTCCCCACGCGTGTTCCTTACGAATCTCAATGGGATTGGGTTTAGGGGAACAAACATCAGGAACCAGACTCTCCCCCAAATTCACATTGATCCTGAAAATGGTCAATTTTTAATGGAAAGTATTTTTCCAAATCCCGATCAATGGCAGGGTCTATGCTAATTTTGGGGAGGGTCAGTATATCCGAGTTGAATCACCAGAAAACCATATAAAATCATTAAAATCCCATAAAATCACCAGAGAAATAATAATCATTATGTATATATATATATATGTATATTACCATCCAATCAAGTGATTTCCTGTGAATTTTCATCCAAGGCTATTGGCATCCGCTGCACTGCTGCTTTTCCGTGGCTTCTCTGAAATCAACTGGACCTTTGGAGGCTGCACTAATTGGTTTCACCTGGGTTGCGGTGTACAAACCCACCAGTTTGTGGGAACATCATGGGAATATACCGGGACATACCAGCAACGATAGGAGATTGGGGTGTGCAGAAAATGGCGGATTTAGCCCTAAATTGCCACTACGAAGGTGGCGATGATTCATGATGATTAAGCAGTGGATTCTTGGGGGGGCCTATTTCAGGCAAAGCCATTTTGGAAATTCAGATAACGCAACTTAGCCTCACATTTATTCAATACACCCAAGAACTGGGCTTGAAGAGCTTCGCTCATCTGAGTTTGACTGACCTGTGCCCTGGGAGGTTTCTGCTGAGAGCACCATTTGTGGGTCATCAAGTTTCCACCGGGGAGCGCTCAAAATGCCCCGAAGATGGAAGTCTTTTAGCATGGGCACTGGTGGTATCCAGAGTTGGATGACACACCTAGCACCATGGATGTCCGTTTTTCCGTTTTCCACTGGATCATTGTTCAAATTTTGGAGCTCCAGCAGTTTTCACCAGCAACAGTTTTGGCAAATGATGAGATTTGGATGGTATGCCAGTCAGCGGCTCCCCTACTTTTGCCAGAAGGACATCATCGCTTGAAAGCAATTAACGAGAAATGCAGGAGCTTTAGGTGGCAACGCCTATCCTTGATATTCGTTGGTGTGAAAATAAAGGGTCTCCAAAATCTCTCAAAACTGGTGTTTGACAGGTGAAATGTTGGTGTATACATATTATAGAAATGTTGGTGTATAGTGTATACATATTATGTGTATATATATAGACATATTTTCCTATTATAAGAAAAACACATCCATAACATACGCATGTCCAAGGAAGTAGACACAAAATCACAAGTCTTCACTCTCTTACGTATGGATGTCACACTGAAAATTCCTAAATTCAGATGCCACATCTCCTCCCGCATCCTCCCGCGAGTGGAAACTTGATTCACATACAAACGTTGTGCCGCTAAAGAGCGGTGTATTCTCCTCAGTGGAGCGGGCGTTTGACAGCTTGCACAGTGGCACGGCCATTTTTCTATTTTAAGAGAGTTGAACGAATCAAAGTTGACTTAAGGTAAATCCTCACAAAGTGAATAGGGAAGAGCTCCCTCTGAAGGCCGCAAATCGTCGACGGAAAACCATTGGTGGACATCGGCAGACACAGACTGACACCATGCCACTGTGATGAGCAGCCTAGCAGTAGAGTGTAGAGTGTAGGAGAAAGATGCAGAAAAACAAGAAGTTGGTTTCGGTACCAGCTTGGTGCTGCAATCTAGGACATTAATAAATGAATCTTTATGAAACAATTGCTACAAGAATACTGAATTGAACTGAGATGATTCTGAAGGATTTGGTTCCAAGAACTGCCCGTTGTTACTGCACCCCCTTACTATGCTATTGGACTCTTTTGGACGTTCCACTCGTGATTTACACAGAAGTCATCATGTGGAGTTATTATCACCAGCCAACTTCTTTAGCTAATCAACATGTGGAAGTTGTTTTGAAAGACTATCCAGCAAATGTGGACTATCCACCACTGTCCCAACAGCTTTTCAACCCATGTTTTGAATGTTTGAACAGCTATCCACCAAAGGTTGGGATCATCCGGTATCATTCAACCCCAAAAGGTACAAAAATTCTTCCCAGGCGTCGAGAGGACATCAAGACTTGCTCCAGCGCGAGGCCAGGCTTTGCAATGGAACTATCCCTCTTCAGGTATACATAAGAGCCTTCAAACCCTGCCGTTTGCATCCTGAAAATGCAGAATGCACTTTAAATTCACTAGGTTGAGTTGTTCAACAGGGGATTTCAACAAAAACTGGGGACTCAAACATATTGATTTCCCCATCTTGGATGATTCAACCATTCGAAACCTTGGGATTAGCCTCCCCCAGGCTTTGATCATCGCCGCCCGTGAGCATGACCTTGAGGCATCAGGGTGATGCCAGGGTGATGCCCCTCGCGATACCAGTTCCGATTTCTTTGACGTTGACCCATATGAGGCAATGGACATAGCTCTCTATGTGTAGACCTTGTATATATATATATGTATATATATATGTATATATATATATATGTATATATATATGTATATATATATAATATAATATAATATAATATAATATAATATAATATTATTATAGATATATATGTATTATATATATGATATATCTGGATAAACGAGAAGCACCTCACTGTGACGTCACTGGCCACTGGAATGATGGTTAGTAGGGGTAGCTATCCCAAAACTGGCTCGTCCCAGGCTGATGAATTCATCCATCCATCCATCCATCCAGACAGACAGACAGACAGATGTCATACGGTCAGAACGCATATGATCCAGGGGTCCTGGTACCTGCTTTAAAGGTGAAGGATAGCGGGATGACAATCACATTTTTGACGTAGTCTTGACCACGGCAGCCAACGTTGACTGGTCATTTTCAGTAGTCTCGCTCGGAGCCAATTGGGGATTCATAAGGTAACCAGTTACCCTCTGGTAATTTAACATAGCTATTGAAAATGGCCCATTGATAGTTGATTTACTATTAAAGATGGTGATTTTCCATAGCTATGTTAGTTTACCAGAGGGTAACGTGACTGGTGATATTGTAGCACCCCTCAGTCCAGCTGCCTCTGCAGGGATGCCTCAGGGAGTGGACGCACTTTCTACGGCCGGAAAGCCATGGTTTGGGGCTGGAAGAATGGTTGGGAGGTGTCAAGGAGTCATCACTGGAATAGGTTTGATTTGACTTGACCTGACCTATATCTATCATTATCTATCTACATCTTTAGGTGGGAAGTTTCACTGTGACACACCATGGCAGAGGGATCCAAACCTGCGATTTACCGGAACATAGTGAGATAGGTAAATGGACAGACACAAAGATGAAAACCCCGACAAACACCAAGCAACGGCAAACAGAAACCCATGAAGATCTATGGACAGTCATTTCTGCGGTTCGGAGGGTATGAATTTCAGACAAGTGGCTATGGGTCAAAACCCACCCTGGTCTACATCACAATATATAGATGGTAAATGGATGTAAATGGACTGTTCACCCCCCGATTCATGTGGTAAAATTGTAGGTGTTTGCAAATCCCCAAAGGCGTTTGTCTATAAAAATAGGGCCCAATTCCGACAGATGATTATCGTCATTTTTCCGATTAAGATTGATTTTGGGCTGCAGAGAATGTCGCATGACAGGGTGAGGCGTCCCCTGCGCGAGAAGTATGGTGCAGCGTGTCGCGGCACGGATCACCGCACAACGGATGTGGTCATGGAGGAGAAACAAAGGTGCTGCGGCAGGGAAAAATGTGTTTATCCAACATGGGAGATAGCTCCAAATATGGAACATAGATGACAACGATATTCAACCATGGGATTTTGGGGTAATTACCCTGCAAAACAAATCCATATGGTTTGTCAGATGTTTGGAACGGTACCTATGGGACCATTGGGGGAAGTCCATGACACACCGGCTGAAGGATTCCTAGAATTGGTAAAAACCAGTGGCTTCCAGGCTTTTCTTCGAGGCAAAAGACTTCTGCGCCACACTTGCTCGCGAAGCGTTGGTAGTCCGCACAGAGGCAGGAGACCCCAACCGTCCATTGATTAATTACAATTGGAGAACCACTGGTGGATTGTGAGGGACAAAACAAAATGCATGCAAAACCGCCTTAAGCCTCTCGTGCCATCTCACTTCTTTTGTATCCTTTGTGCAGTATTGAATCGAAAACACACCCAGCAGGCCCAATGATAAAGTGTGTAAGCTAGACAGGATCGAACACACACACGCATATATATATATATACATAATGGTGCCAGATGGTGCAGGCCACAGATTGACATCAATCTTCCGTGAGTCCAGAGTGTCCGCAGCATTTTGCTGAGCCGAACAGTGGCCATAGTCAGGTGCCCGAAGAATCAGCTGGCCCTTCCAGACGCTTGCGATTGGATCTGGAAGAGGCTATTGAGGACACTCTGTTGATCATATGAGCTATGGTCAATACTCATGGTTAATAACCATTAATAGGGGCTAGTCATCCAATGGTTCATAGGGATTTATAATAACCATTATAAGGATCCTTATTATGGATGGGATGACCATCAACCATATAGTGAGTATTGACCATGGCTCATATCAGGTGCGCTTGTCAATGCTTGTCTCAGCAAGTTGGCATGAAACCGGGATGCGACCTGGAATCTGTCCTGATTAAACCCACTCGAAAAGACTTTTTTCAAGATATAGATGTGTTTTGTGGTTTTGCATGTTTTAAGTATAGGTTCAATCAGAGAATTTGAAAGGATCTATAGTATACCCTCTGGTTGTTTAACATAGCCATGGAAAGTGGCCCATTTATACATTCTTAGGATCCTTGAGGAACTCCTCAGATGGAACCCCTTAAGTCTGCAGGACTCGGATGAGCTTTTGCTGCGCTGCGCGCGCCGGGGTCTCTGCCGGGAGCTTAGGACATGCTGGATATTTATTCCAACATGGGGAACCCCAAAAACATCAAAAATGGATCATATTTGATTGAACAACCACTGGTTTGGAGGGTAGCCCCTAAGAAAATGGGAACACCGAAACCAATGTAGAAGCCCTAGTTCATCCTAGGTCATTTCAGGGAAATTGTGTGGAAATGGGTAAAGATCCAGCGGGTGAACGGTCCGTTCCCCTTGGTTCGTCGGATCCTCCATTCCTCGCAGGATGTTTTTTCAAGGGGTAAAACATGACTATCAAATATGGCAAATCCAACAAAGGTGTAGACACCACTCATTTTTGGTGAATTTGGGGATGGTCTATTGATGTCTATTGTGTATTGTGTAAAAACCACATTCATCACACTCACCAATTGGTAACCTAGAGAGATCATAGCAGTTTGAGGACATCTCGAAGTGCTCTGCAGCTTTACAGCTACCCCTTGTTTTCGTGGCAGGTTGAGTGGCAGCTGCTGTTTCCACTCGGCCGAGAAGACCGGAAAGACCGTCAACAGATGTTGGACCATCTGGGGGGATGAGCATCCATATGGGGTATGAAGATGGGGGTATCCCCAAATCCACAGCGAAACAACCATGTTGAGTCGAGTATTGAAACAATTGAAACAACCATGTTTTTTTGGGAATCCCCTAATTTAAGAAATAGTCATTTAAGCGTCTGCAAGCATCACCCAATCGTGGAAATGCATGGGCAGCAGCCTCTTCCCCGCGGTCGAGATCATGACAACATCTAGAGCCATATCAATGGTCGATTTAGATTGTAATGATTAATGATGACTAATGTAGTAAACCCAAGAATGAACCTCCAATTTTCACGGCTTCACACCAGCCGTTGTCATCTCTGTGCTCGTTGCCTTACCTCAGCCACTTCCCAGGTATT